ACGACCCAGCAGCGGCGACGAACTAGCAGCGGCGTCCAAGCAGTGATAGCAGCATCAACGACAGCCATGGAAGCAGCAGTCCATCGAGGAGGACGACGGGAAGCACTTGCAGCTGCTTAGCAGCAGTAGCAGGTGCGTGAGCGGACAACCATGGCATCTTGGTTCGTTTTATGTTGTTCCGGCGTGGCTGGGGTCGTTCGGAGGTGGTGTTTGGACGGAAAAGATCTAAGCAACCACAGCAGCAGCTCGGCGTGCTCGGAAGGAGGAAAAGAAGAAGCATGGTCAGCCATGGACGTCGAGCTCAAGCTTGAGCTCGACGAGCCTCGTCAATGGCGGATAGGGCTAGGAAATTCGGACGAAGAAGAAGGAGATGAAGACGATGTAGTCATGGGTGGTCGGAGAGAAGCTTTGTTTCTGCGTCAACTGTTGGACGAAGGGTGGTCGATGGGCGGACATGGGACGGCAACTTGGAACTTGAGGAAGAAGAAGAAGATAGGAGGGTGGCGGATGATTTTTCAATTTTTAGGGTTTTCTTCATTTTGTTTTGTTTTTTTTTTTTTAAATGTAAGACAAAAGGGGTTTGGGTCTTTTGGGTTATGGACTGGGTTGACCCAGTTCGAAATGGACTGGGTCGTAAAGAAGATTGGGCCATTTTTTGGGCCTGTGGCTTGAAATTGAAGAAGAGGCCCAATTCCAACTTTCCTTATATTTTCGCTCTCTTTTCTTCTTTTATTTCTCTAAAACTAAATTATAAAAATACTAAAACTATTATTAAGAACTAAATTGAGTTATAAAAGTGCAAATTAACTCCCAATAACAATTAACGCACAATTAAGTAATAATTAAGCATAAAATTGTATATTTGGACATTAAATGCTAAAAATGCAAACGATGCCTATTTTTGTAATTTTTAATTTTTGTAAAACAAATTTAATTACTAACAATTGTAGAATTAAATCCTACATGCAAAATGCGACATATTTTTGTATTTTTTATTAATTTAGCAAATAAACATGCACAGACAAATACAAATAATTATTCAAAATATCACAAAATTGCACACCAAAGAAAAATCATTTTATTTTTGAATTTTTTGGGAGTAATTCTCATATAAGGCAAAAACCACGTGCTTACATTGACCGTTTGTTTTCTTTGAGAACATACGGTTAATGCTTGTTTCGAATCAAATTGAAGCCGTAGAATTCATCAAGCTTTGTTCGGGCGACCTTAGAGGTATTCTTTCTATCTTTTCTCTATCGTCTTCCTCGTCAGTTTCATTATTTAACTTTTTTTTTCTGCTGTTTCTCCTCCATCTACATTCTGCCTTTTTCTTTCCATTTTTCCTTTTGTTTCTGGCTGAATTCGTACAAGCAATAGCCATGAGTTAACTTTAATTAATTTTGTTAATGGAAAAGAATTAATTCAGTTCGTTAGTATTAAAATTGATTGGACTCTTTTGGGGTCATCGTTTGTGATAATGTGTTTGAGCCAGAGTTTTGGGTCTCAGAATATTCATGGGCTGGGTGAATTTCTTGGGCCCTCGATTTATTGTGACCCGTCCCAACAACAGCCTTAGATTTCTAGTTGTTCGATTTGGCCTGACCCATAGTTGGATTGGGTTCAAGGGTAGTCTAGGTAATTGGCTTAGGGAATCTAGGTGTAACTAACTAGGGAAGCTTCTAGGAAGCTGGGGTTGGGGTTATTCTGAATTTCTAGATTGTACCTTGAGGACTCCTAAGCAAAAACGAAAATTTCTGAAGGTTTGAAGGGCAATTGTGAATTCATTGAAGTTGCCCTAAATGCCTTGCCTATAAAGGCTCTTTAATTTGGCATTCAAAAGGGATAGAAATCAGATTGGATAAAAAATCACAAACGGCCAGAAATATCAAAATCACTGCTGATCACTAGGGAATTCTCCTCTTTCTCTCTAGGAATGCCTTGAATAGTAGCTCCGTCACTATTCACCGGGCCATAACTCCGGCGTCCGACGGTGGAACTTCACAAAGTTGGTGTCAAAACATACATCTACTCTTTGCGCACAATCCCAATTGGTTTTATCCTCAAATTCATAGCCATTTTTTCCATATCTTAAATTCAATTTCGCAACTACTGTAGCACCGACAAATATTTTTTAGATTTCAGCTTTTTTAGATGTTCTTTGTATGTGATATTTTGAGCAGTCATGGATGCTGCTGTCTCTCCCCAGCTCCAAGATGTGGGAAAGTCCACCCAAATCAGTAGAGAAACTCATCCAATTCACAATACAAAATAGCCATATGCATTGCAACTACAAGGACAACAATCTGCCGCAAATTCGTCAAAGGTGAAGTTATGTCCACTCACGTTTCAGCATGGTGAACCTACTGTTGAATTCACAACTGAAGATGTTAATGCGTTTACAATTGAGGAGGGACTGCATCAAGCAGTTATTCTTAAGTTCTCATATGGGAAGCCAGATATCCATGAGTTGCAACAACTTATACCAAAACAATTTGACGTCAAAGGGTATTGTAACGTTGGACAACTTGAATATCGACACATACTGATAAGGTTTGATCTCTTAGATGATTTTGTTCAGGTGTTATCAAAAACTACTGGTTTTGTTAAGGCAAAGGGAGATGAATTCTTCTTTAGGTCATTCCCATGGACGATGGGATTTAATCCACGTGAAGAAACCTCTAGAGCAGTCGTTTGGATTTCTATGCCAGATCTGCCTGTAAATTTCTTTGCAAAGAAATCCTTAATGTCCATAGCTTCAGCTGTGGGGAAGCCTTTAGCAGTGGACAAAGCGACACAAGATAGAACACGACCAAGTACGGTGAGGGTGAAGGTGTTGCTAAACCTACTGGACAAACATCCTAAGCATGTTAGGATTCATATTGTTGATAGAAATTCAGGGAAAACTGATGAACATTTTCAGGAGATCGTGTATGATAACTTTCCAAAATTTTGTACTTGTTGTAAACATCAAGGCCACGATGAAAAATCTTGCCGTTGGAGGATTGAGAAAAATAAGGAAACTGCTGCTCCAGTGAAAGACGTTGAAGGGCTGGGCAATCTAGATAAATTGAAAGGTGATGCCAGGGATTTTCTTAATGCAAAAAGAGTAGTACAAATAGCAGGGGAGACAACAAATGTTAATGTAGTTGATCAGTAGGTTGTGCAAGGTGATGAAGGAAAACAAACATACAAGGGGCATATGGATGGAACAAATGGTATAATTACTGAAGAAAAAACAGAAAGTTCTAAACTTGCAACTGTAAAGAATGCTTCTAATGTGCATGTTGAGGGGCAAGGTTTTGAAGGTAATTTAGAGGATGGTATGGAAGAGGGATATCGAGGAACAACTGGGTTTGAGCAGGCTGTTCGAGGTTTTGCTGGTAACGCCATACACTTTACACAAGCAGCATCTACTAGCGCTGTGAATGCAATTGGTGATGATACACTGGCTACTGGTATTAAGGCAGTGATCGAGGATTTTAGGCAGCCTCAAAAGTTGGTGGACGAGCAGACTACTGCTCCTGTTCAAGCGGCTCATTTGAGGGTTGGAAATACTAGTGGAGTTACATTGCAATCAGCTGGAATTTTGCATTCACATGCTGGTGTTTGGAAACCTATTGTTCCTTCGACTCCTTCTATTGATCGAACAAGTTCTGATCCTAGGCTATCAGTTACAGGTTTAGATCCTAGGGTGCTAGAAAGCTGGAATATGGTAACATCTAGAAAATCACCTACAAAGCAGGTGGACTCACAGAAACAGCAGAAAATAGATGCTGGACGAAATGCATCTAGCAGTGTTTCCAAAGCCATGAATGCAGACAATGCTATGTTGTCTAGTCATCGTGTGGAAGATGCAGGAGATGCCTCAGCTTTTAAGAAGCCTCAAGCTAATTTTCCATGTGATATTCCTGTTAGTAGAGCTCTGGATACGATTTACAAAGCTGTGGGTGGTAAAATTTTAGCTGGACTTCCTAAAGGTTCAGATTTTGAAACTGAGCATACTGAATTACCTGAAGCTACTGTTGTTGGTGGTGACTTGACTGATGTTTCAGGGCAAGTTGAAGATGGGAAAAAGATTGAGGGTGTAGGTGTGGAGAAGAAAAAGGAAGCTGGAGATAATAACAAGTTGAAGGATATCTGTACCAAGCTGGATGTTAATAATTCTACAACTTTTTTGTCAAATGCTACAGCTCCAAATGCTACACCATCAGTAGCAGCTGTTGATCATGAGCAAAATTTAACTCCAATAGTTGTGCAGGTAAATGCTACTACTGGTGTTGGTTTAGATATTACAGGCTTTGAAAGTGAGGCAACACCAAGAACCAGCCATTCAAAAACACCACCAAGTGTACAACAAAAGCAGAAACCAGAAGTTTCAGCTACTCCAGTAAGTGGCTCAAAAGACATGGTTCTTGTCAACGATCCAAAGGTTGTGGAAGTGACAGGAGCATTTACAGTAGAAGAAGATGTTGAAATTAATTCAACAACGTTAAAAGATTTTCATTCAACCCAGCAAATAGTTCCAGTCTCCAGCAGTAGCAAAGGACATAAGCCCAGTAACAATCTGATGAAAAATATGAGTTTTCGACGAAATGTTTCAACAGGCAATTTAGACGACGTGGTGAAGGATGTTCGTGAACCTATTTTCAGCCCCTCAAAGTAGCAATTCTCTAGTCCTAAAGTGGAGAAAATCATCAAAGACGCTCAGGTTTCAATGATGTTTAATGCCAATCCCATGATCAAGCAACCTTTGGTCACTTTGAATACATCGGCGCAAGAAATTCCTTCTCAAAGCGTGAAGTCGATTGGTGAACATAGTGGTTTTGCGCAACCTCTACTATCTACAGGTAATGATAAGGAAGTCATCAAGGACAGAAGTGAAAACTTGAGGGAGAAGATCAATGAAATAACAGTTAGACAAGAGGAGAAATCTTTTGATCGAATGATGCCAAAGAGTAAAACCTGGGCAGATCGAGCTGAGTATGAAGAAGAGGAGCATTGGGAAAATGGTGTGGATGATGAGCTTGATGATTCCATTGAACAACAATCTGGGCAACAGCAGCGATGTAGTCAAGAAGCTTCTTATGCTCATGGTCATTATCCTGGGCTGCAACAACAGCGTGCACGCACTCAATGTGATGCACTGCTGCATCCAAATTCAGGACAGCAGCAACATTTTCCTACTAGCTTCATGGTTGGATAGCATAAGCAGACTACAAGCAATCTACAGATTGAAACGAGCATAATAGTTACTAGCTCGAAGGCAAAGGCAACAAACAAGAAATCTGGAAGGCAGAAATAGCAAATTGTGAACACTCCTACTTCTATTTTTGATCGATATGAAGCAGCACCAAATCCGGGACAGCAACAGCTAATTAAAAACAGTCCACGGTCAGTAAGTTAGGGGCCAAAAATTGGACAGCAACACAAGGAAAGAATTTGGCTCGACGCGATGCAGCAGCGAAATGGCACAAATGTACCTAAAGCCAACTCGATTGTAGTTCTAGATGCAAATCAATCTCGGCAGCAACAACTTGATCCAAATAACTCACCTGTTATACATACTTATGGTTGAAAAGAAACAACAATGTCCAAATTGGCATCGACTTCGACATATGCTGGACAGCAACAACTTATTCCAGCTGCTAGTCCTATAGGTGATAGACAAGTCACAGCACCAACATCTGGACAGAAGCTAAGTGCTACAACCAATCAATTTATGTCAGACGATGAGAGAATGTATTTGGAATCAATTCTGAGTGCCAATGCTCCACAATATATGAATTTGGGGATTGACTTGAATTTAGCAAGAGAGGATGATCCAATGTTTGCACTGTGTAAGCAACAGGATTTATCACCCTCGCGCATCGGACCAAATCACAACATTCGTACAAGAGATAAAAGTTGGGACGACAAGGTGAGTGAGGAAGGAATTGTTAGGCGACTTCCAATGAGATGCCCCAACTACTTCTACGAGGTCCAACCGTTCAAAAAGGAAATGATGTTTTTTGAATACATTTTTCACAGGGTTGAGGAAAACAACAAAGAATTACAAATTGAAGATTTTTCAGGTTTGGAAAAGAAGGGACAAGAATCACATTGGTACTACATTTTATTTTACCATTTTCATATTATCCTCATCTATAATATCATCACAGAGTATGTTATAAACTCTGTGATGATCATAGAATATTTGGTCCTTTCAACTTCATATTTTTTACATGCTTGCTAGTAGACGAGGCTATTATAAGCCTCAATAGTATAAGTAAGGTAAGGTTTAGCCCGGTTTGTGTTGCCTTGGTCCTATGCCTTTGGAAAATATCCACACGGCTATGAGATTATATGCCCTCGTGAGACAATGCCGGCAGCTACACCATGAATTCTCTACATGAGGCTGCCATCATAAGGCAATGTGAGGCGCAGAAGAGTGATTATATAGCCAAGGCATATGGGTAACAAAACTGGTGCTATTGTCCCCCTTATTTGTACTTTTCCGAATTGTTGTAATTTTCTTTTCTTTTATTAATAAAAAATTAGACCTAGGAGCTTGCCTAGCGGATTGCCAAAAAAAATATATCAAAATCACTGTTCCATTGAATTTTCTTCTGTAATCTTGAGGTTTTCAGCTTCTGAAGTAATTTCTGAATCATCCGGGGATTAAAAATGGAGTGAATTTGGGTTTGTAGAAGTCTAGTTTGAAGTTGTTGGGTTACCATTCGGTTGAAACTATTTTTTTGGACGGCTGCATATCATTTTCTGGTTTGCAATTGGCTCTATTGGTGCTGACTCCTTCTATTGCTACTGCTGATCCATCATTTCTTATTTCTTTTCATTTCCAGGTATTTATATCGAACAGGCCCTTAGCCACTGAATCGTGTACTTGAGGATTTGGATCATCTATTGCCTCACTAGCAAACATCATGTGAATACCTAGCTTGAATCCCAGATTTTGAACAGCAATTCTGCTTTGTTCTATTTTCATCTCATTCATGCAAGTTAGAATTTAGCTTTAGATATATGTAGCAGCTATCCTTTGTGAATGATCAGGTTCTGCAATTTTTGTATTTATGAAACTCAGCTTTGTTTGCAAAACTGCAAAGGCTAATGTCTAAGTATGGATAATCTATTATTCTGTTAGCAAGCTATAGTCTGGTCCCTTAGTTTCATATACTGGGTTGTTGTTTGGAACGAGATTTTTGACTGTTAAACACATTGAGGATCTGAGTTTACTGTTGCGACCAAAACACTAACGCAAGTGTACGCGATCGACAAGTAATATAGTAGTAAGTAAATTATCGTTCCCACGAGGAAT